TGCACTCCTAGGTTAATCATTTTCAAAAGGGCGGAGAACTTACAGTTAAATAGAAATGTAAACAGGAGATTCCCTGTGGATAAAGACTAATAAAATAGACCTCCAATAAAAACATCTTTTTGGCACTCAAGTAGAGGCAGTGTTGAAAGGCTGAAGCAGCTTAAGGCACCCTCCAGGCATTTCCCCAAGTACTGAGCCAAGAATTGCAAAGTATTATGCTTGATGACTTGACATGTTGACAACATACACAGCATCAGCACTGTTACACTTTACATCACCACACATGACTTCTGAAGGCTCAGAATACTAGAATAACATAGGGAAAAGTCTAGGAAGGTGCGCCTCACAAGGCGAGGAGTCCACCAGTCTTACCACACACCTCCCACTCGTATTTCTGCCTCCTTGGGTTTCCTATTAAATGCTCTCAGTCACCTATTTATTTGACTGGAGATAAATACATGTTAAAATATTTGCAGGTGGTGCTTCTGCCCTGTCTGGCTTATGGAGTTGACAACTCAATCATTCACAGTGATAATAATGTTGTGAATATTTTGTGACAGGTGATGCTTATGTCTAATTGACTATAGTTGTCATAGGGGCTCCGTGTCTTTCACCAGCCAAACCCAGAACCACGACACTCAGCACTTCTAATTAAAAAATAGTTATACTAACTTTAGAAATATGCTAATATGAAAGTATGGGGTTTTTTGTTTGAAAAATCAGATACAATTGAAATCCAGAGGGCGGAGATATGGGGATATATGTATATGTATAGCTGATTCACTTTGTTATACGGCAGAAACTAACACACCATTGTAAAGCAAGTATATTCCAACAAAGATGTTAAAAAAAAAAAGCACCTGACACATTAAAAAAAAAGTAAACTACCGTGCATAACAATCATATTTACTTAAATAATTCATAAAATTCGTACCATCCCATTCCTTGCCCTTATAGTCTGCAGCGTAAAAGAAGCTTGAGCATATATCAGAGAGAATTTGTATAGTTCGGCTGTAAAGTTCCTGCACATGTTGATTTGCTTAAAATAATTTCTAAGATGTTCGTTTCATGAAGTTTCAGCAATTGTTCCTAGATGAGTGAAAATTATACCTTACATTTCCTTTTCCAATCATTTACACTAAACTGGCTGAAAAGTCTTTTGATCATGGATGTTGAGAGAATTTATTTTGTCTTCAATTTGAGAGGAACAATTTCAGTAGCTTGCATTTCTAAGTTTTTGTAAAATATTTATATGCTATCTAGTAGAGTACTTTGTATAAATTACATTTGTGAGCACTGGACTATAAATTTTATTCCAAAGAATAATTTTTTAAAATATCATATATCTCTCAAGTTTACAGTTCTATTAAATATATGCATGGCCACACAGATAACAAAACATTTTGCCTTTCTTTTTAAAGATTATTTGTAAAAAGCAGCAGGGCATTTGATTAATTCTTTCAGATATATAGAAATCACTGTTCTCTCTAGTGCTTGAAGAGGAATAAATAAAGGGAGAATGAGGAATCCTCACGGCAGCATTTCCATCCATATTGATGGGATTTATTTTATTTGTCTCTAAACTTGTAACAACTTCCTTTTCTTCCTGTTTCCATCACATACTCGTATAATGCCTTAGGCGTTTCCTAACTCCCTTTCACAGATTTATTTGTATCATCTGGAGCAGACTGTGAAGCTCTGAAAGAAAACTGGCAAGTTTTGTATAATTTGGATACATCCCATAATATCTAGAAAAACTGGGCAAAAAAAAAAAGCTAGGAAACACATTTGTAAAATGTGACAATTAAAAATTGTTCTTTGGCTAAAAATAAAAACCAAAAAACAAATTAAAGTGATCTGTGTTATACCAGGTGAAAATGTCAAGAGCCAGGCCACAATTCGCTGTGTTTCATTTTTCCTGCGTTGGCAATTACAGATTCACAGAGAGGGAGCTTCCCTCACAGTGGGACCTGAGTAACTCTGGGGTAAAAATAGAACTATTAGCCTATCTGGGATGAACAGGTAGCATGAGTGTGTGTGTGTGTGTGTGTGTGTGTGTGTGTGTGTGTGTCTACATATATCAACAAAGTTTGAAGATTTGAGGCTGTTTTACCTACACCATAACCTTACCCGTTTTATGTGTGGCCATGGCACCAGCTGCACCAAGTCTCAATTCTGATCCTGACATTCATCTACTTTCTTTATCATATTCAAAATTATAGTCCGGTCCTTACCAAACTTGATAGTCCATTCTGACCACAGTCTCACTGGTTACTACATGGGAAACCATATTTCTGGGTAATGCCAATGTCCATTCTTTTGTTCACACTTTTCCAGCTTCCTGGAATTGCTTCCTTAATCCTTCCATAATCTAAGTTTTAATGCTTTTTTCAACACCCATGTAAGCCCTGCTTTTCTTGACAAATTCATTCTACAGTGATCTCCATATTCTGTCAATTTCCAAAGCCCTAGGAGTCTGTACCACACATTTGCACGCTCCTCTGACTCACTCTTTGGTTTGTTCTGATGTTTTTTATCTTTTCAACAACATTAACTCTTTTTTTCTTAACATCTTTATTGGAGTATAATTGTTTTACAATGGTGTGTTAGTTTCTGCTTTATAACGAAGTGAATCAGTTATACATATACATATGTTCCCATATGTCGTCCCTCTTGCGTCTCCCTCCCACCCACCCTCCCTACCCCACCCTTCTAGGTGGTCACAAAGCACCGAGCTGATCTCCCTGTGCTATGTGGCTGCTTCCCACTCGCTATCTATTTTACATTTGGTAGTGTATATATGTCCGTGCCACTCTCTCACTCTGAGCTCTTTTAATACAGAATTTCGTACAAAGTTAGGCACAGATTAGGAGATCAATGTAGTCAAATCTATTCATTGATTGATTGATTTTTTTTTTCACTAATTTACTCAACTAGTGATGTGCCACACTGGGTGTTGAGTGCTGGAAATGCAAAGATGAGAAAGATAAACCTTTTCCCATGAAAAAGTTCAAAATGTATAGGGGAGAGAGAAATGTAGCCTTCTAACTCTAAAGTACATTAACCTGGTACAATATAAATGTACTAAAAGGAGGAGTTGATGGGTGGAGGAAGGGGTCACTTTTAGTCCAGACCCTCCATCTATGGGGGGGCTACAGAGGGGATCCCTTTCCTAAGCAGACCACTGCTCTCATTTCCTCTTTCCCTCATTCATTCATTCATTCAACAAACATTTAGTAATTGCAGGCAACATGCCAGGTACTGTTAAGACTGGGGATACTGGGATGACAGGTTGGAAGGTAGAGCCTCTATTTCCAGGGTGCTCACACACCAAAGGGGAAAACAATGAGTAAACCAACAAATGATAGCACAGTCTAAAAAACAATGTTACCTAGCCAGGTAATTGTGATCGATGCCGTTTGTCTTTACATTGATTGCTTTGGACTAGTTAAGGATATCATTCACGTCACTGTTGCACCCTGAGCACCTCACCTTTAATAAGTAAGTGAAAAAGACAAATAGCACTATCTAGGCTTTCGCTTTCCTCAAGCTTGATCTATGAAAAACAATTGTCAGTTAAGATTAAAAATTTTTTTAATATCAAAAACATACATCTTACCTAACACAGCTAAATATTAGCACGAATTAGCCGCCATTTATCTAGTTTAAAATCCAATGCTTATTTCGAAAAAAAGAGTAAAAGATAACCCAAACACCTAGTTAAAATAAAATACCTCATTAAGCTTTCACTGCTATTGGTTCATAATTACTGTTTATTTTATCCCTACTTTGAATGGTTTTCATGGAACTAATTCAAGCATAATATCCAATTTTTCTTGCTCTTATACAGAACTGCAACTTGCTTTGGATTTTAATGCAGGTTTTCTTAAAAATGCTTACAGAAAACTTCTTCCAGCCTGACTGTTGTCCTTGCTTGAGAACGAGCTGGGCTACATCTTCTCAATTCAATTTACATCAATCAACATGCACTGGATGACCACCAAGAACTCTAGAGATACAAAGGTAAGTCACAGTCCATTTCTTCAACGACTGTACCATGTATAACGGACTTCTAGGAAGTTTCAAAAAAGAGGCCATTGACTGATCAAACAAAATTATCATTATGTGCCCAGATAGGCCTCCAAATTATCTGTGTGCTAAGAATGATGCTTCATTAAGTTACTCATTTTCTCTGGTTCCAGCAGCTCAGTCAGAGGAAAATTAAAAACCAAAAAAAACACAGTTCTTTGATTGCAGCATGCTGTCCCTGGCCCACATAAGATCCAAACCAATACTTTTCTACACTAAAAAAAGAAGTCCTTTCATCACCACCAAGCAAACTTCCTTTAGCTTCCCTCTTCCATTGGGTGTTTATACACCATCAGTCAACTACAAATACCACCCACTTTATTACAAATGGCCTCCTTGTCAGTCTCCCTTACAGGAGCTGTGCCCTGTCCACAAAACACAGCATCTTACACACTTCAAAGACTAGAGAATGGTTTATATATAAATCATATATGTGTGTGTATATATAAAATACATATATAACTATTCCAAATATTATACATAAAAACCTCCATAGACTAGAGAGATTAATTCATAAATCTCAGTCATCAGAAGAAATAAAAGCAATAAATTCTTTTCAACAAACTTAAATAAAGACAACGCAAAACTACTATGTTATTGAACAAAACTTAAAATTTTTTTCATATAGGTTTAGTTTCTTTCTTTAACTTCTACACTATTTAGTGCACTAATGAGATTTTTTTTTCAATTTCTGAGGACTCTGTGAAATAAGTTTACCTTTAGTATTTTCATAAATTAAATCATAAAATGTATTAGAAAATGAATAGTAATACATTTCCTCTTGAAAAATGTTTTCTAAGTAATTCTGAAGATTCTGTTTCTAAACTTAGTTTAAGAGATTCGTAAACAGCATGTAGGGATGACTCTACTTCTCTCTCTGAGAGGCTATGAACTCTGTTGAAGAAACATACCCAGATACTGTCCTCTTGTCGATACTGTTTCCAGTTCCTGCCACTGTCACTGAACATTAGGAGGTAGCTGGTCACCCAGTTGGAGCTCCCATATCCCCCTTGGGTGGCCACAGCGGTGATCTCCATTCTCTCTCCAAGGTCAATCTGCAACCACTGGTATTTGTTTGACACAAGTGGAGACCAGCCACCAGCTCCTTTTGTGAAAAGAGAAAAAGGAGAAATGAGCAAAGAATTCATTAAAAATCTGTTAGTGAACTATCAATCCCGGTAAGACTGTTCCTCTATGGAACTTAAGAAAGTCAAGGGGCTTCCCTGGTGGCGCAGTGGTTGAGAGTCCGCCTGCCGATGCAGGGGACACGGGTTCGTGCCCC